CCATCTTGTCATTGTCAAGCAAGCATTCGATATGTAATCGAAGGATAATCTTTGTAAGGCTCCAACTAAATCTCAGGTTTATTTCTGCCTATCCAACGTCACTGTCTTAATGAAAATTTCCACCAAAAGTCGGTTTTCAAACGATAAGCCGTCTTTATTACCTTGCACTATTTTACAATATAGTCGTAAATAAATTGACTATCATCGATCACCCCGCCTCACGTTCCATATCTCTCTCATTTTTGATATTCCACAATATCACTTTTAATTGGAGCCTTTTGCATTCTAATTGACTTCGTATTTCGAACGATAGTCGAAATCTTTTTCGTCATAGTTTATGATTCCAAGTAATGACCTCTTTAATTATTTTATGTTGCTATCAACCATCACGATGCTGAGATATTGGCAAAACTTGCAGCCCGAGCCAGATCGAACCACGATTTCCCTTTCTGAGGGGTTGCGCACTACACACTACGCCACGGAGGCCTATGTTTTATGTCGTTATCAAACATTTTTCTGTACTTTCTATTCATCGTCTGTCCTTAGATATCTTTGTTATTAAAGAATGTCACTTTTCATCATTTTCATCTCATTTTACCCACATTATCCTAGATGTCGTGTAGCCAGGCGCAAGCTGGTTAACCCTACCAAAGGGCTGGATCTCCGCATTTTATGAAGTCAATCAAATGGTTCATAACAATTTGACAGGACGAAACACTTTCTCATAACGGCATTCATACATGCTTAACCACGATAACATCAAATAAAACTAGCGAAAGAACTCGCTTATTTGATGCTCTGACAACCTTTCTATCTGCTCAGTTTGAACCTTTCTTTTACTTTGTATTGTACGGTTATGTGGAATTCAGCGAGTAAGGCAAACAGAACTCATAGCTACAGAAAGAAGTGTTTTGGTGCTCGAGACATGATTGCGTTGAACTTCTTGAAATTTTTCTCACATTACTCGCTTTAGTACGCGTTAACAGGGGCGCAGTTAGCGCAGTGTAGTAATGCCGCTCACTACGATCAAGGCATTAGTTCGACCGCGTCCCAGTCCAACAATCCTCCCACCCCTCCGAGGTTGTAAAATTAGTACCAAATTTTCCAGGTATCAACTCACTCCTTCCAATTCACGTAGGAATACGCTAGCTCTGCCATTTCAAGATTTCAATGAACATAGAGTCGACCGGCATTCATGGACATTCATAAAGGAGGCGAAAATCCTCAAGCAGCAGCAGAATAGAAACGCAACATTTCGAAGACCTTTGTAGACAATGGCTGCTGGAAGCGGACTAGATGCTAAATTACTGCGACCAGCGCTGTAAATGTTGACAGGACATCCAAAAAATTTTTTATTTGTACAACAAGCTTTTGACTAAAGTGGGACCTCAACTGGAAAGTGATAAGCAAACAAAAAAGGCTTTGGAATTAACACTAAGAAAGATAAAGAAAGGGAATCGAAATGCTTTTGTACGCCCTTAATTCTTTTGCCTCAAATTTCGCCACTGTTTCTTTCAAAAGTGAATTTTTTTACAGAATCTAGTTAAGGAATTGCTTCTCGTGAGTTGGGTATGGGTTCCAGCATGCAATTGCTATCAAAGTTCTTGAATTGTGAGCCACAACCTTCGTGTTAAAATAGTTTTAGAACTGTTTATTGGACAGCCAATATTGGTTGGAATGACAATGATACTCTGTTATCGACTATACTATCCAACTAAAATAATCCATAATCCGCTCGTTATTCAGGTAGTGTGTCGAGCAGTCACCGACAACGTTTCCATTGAATCCATTGTTCCCTGTCGCGCGCTAGAGCTGCAAAATAGGCTCCGCTAGTTTGAAGGGAACGAAAAGCATAACAGTTTTCTTTGGAGCACTTTTCTAAAACGATTCGCAGCAAGAAAATAGGCTTATGGTCTTGAATGCTGAGCAGATTCATGAGTTGAGAGGAAAGGTTACTTGTTAGATGCGACCCGAAATATAATATTCAAAATAAATTATCACTATCAATAATATAATGCCTCAAATAATTCGATATTCATGAATTTCCCAGCTGTTTCATTGAAGGCTTTTAGTCGATTAGGTGTGAAATACATAATCCACATATGAGTACGCCTACATACGTATAAATGGGTATGGGGTATGATTGCGTGGATAAAAGCTGAGAAAAACTCTCGGCGTTGATCAATCCCTGAGGGAAGAACTATGCATTCGACTTAAGTATCGTTGAAGGTGATTGAATGCATATCTGACCTTCACAATGACGGTGGCCTAACGATGTATCAAGCCAGTGGTGCTATCCTCCCAGCCACGTCTGGTACCAATTTGCCGTCCTCGGGGTGGATGGAAAGCTTGGTGGGCCATGGGAGCGGGAATCAATTCCAAGTGTGTGTCGCAGTGGCGCATCCAACCACTGCGCCAGCCACACTCGCCGAACTGATAAGATTGCGTGGATATTGAATGTATAAGCGGATCTGGCCCAGCAGTCATGGAGTGTAACACTTGTATCGACATTGGTTTCAGTACGGGTCCATGCTTGCATATGTCAATGCTTGACCATTCTACGACCATGCGCATGACCTTGATTTCGACATGCATGTTGTTGCTGTTTTTCGGAACGGAAATCTTGATTTCAATGCGGACGTTTTCTTTTGGCCTATTTCGACGCCCAGGGCTTTTTACAGACTTCTCCTAGTCAATCGATAGCGTGTCAAACACAGATTTTATATCAGGCCCAGTCCACGAATAAGTTTTCTCAATGCGCTATGCTTGCAAAATACCTTTTTCGGAGCGTGGAATGGAGTCGGAGGATTTAGGAAACATGGAAGAGAGATAAAAATACCTTTCAAATATCACACATATTGATTTATTTTGACAGCTAAGATTTTACCATTTCGAAAACGACAATTTCTTCGAAGCATTTCTAGCGGCATCTTTATTGATAGAAATTTTTCCTAGAAGTTATTGTTGATCTGCTCGAAAAAGTGGAGGTTGGTTTCTGAAAGATGAAATGAGTATGCTGGAGGTGGAATTTCCAAGTCCTGTGTGTTCAACTTCTGCGAGTTAATTATGCAGTGTCAGGTGGAACATTGTAGTACAAGAAGATTAAAATTTCTTTCACATATTTGAGATATTTTGATAATTTCGTGAAGATACTTCTTTCCTACGAAATCTTTCGCGAGAATTCAGAAGGATTAATCGAACCGCGCGCCACCAAACAAGCACTGCAACCTTCTTTTAGAAAAAGTGTGTTTCTGTGCAATGTTTATGAGTCTCACCATCCCTTGATCCAGCCACAGCGCTAAACACTGTCGGTAGTCAGAAATATTTTTCATCCGATTTCACAATATAGGCTGCTTTTGTTGCATAGAGAAAACGCAGATTGGACTTCATGATGATGATGATGATCTTTCTTATCTCTTTATTCAGTCCATGTGGCATCTATATATCGTATTTTTTCGCCTCTTTAATGTTGGAATGTCGAACTATCGCTCACTGGTTAAAATTGAGTCCCTCTGCAACCTGTTAAGCATTTATTTAAATGGTCAGCTTCGACTACTTTCGACTACCTGACTGCCTTGAGGTGGTCGTCATCAGCTACCGATGTTTGCTCGTGACCTTCTTCGTTATCAAGACTGATAACTACGGCACGGAGCTTTCTAGTGAAGCTGTACACTATGTTTGTATTTGTATATTTGCTTGGAGGATGCTCCTCTAATGAGCTTATGCAACTAAACGTTACAATTTTCTCGCCAGGAGAGCACAATTTCAACCGGCGTAGATTAAATGTTAGGAAAATCACCAAGCGTTAAGTAGTTGGGCAGCACATAAACTTTAAAATTTTTCAGAAGAAAAAAACCGTCTGTGTGAACATTTGCTACAAGATGTCTTTTTAAGCTTTGCCGTGCAAACTTTAGTTTGGCAATTCGATTCTTTCTGCTTACAACCGCCGTCTGCGGAGGTTCTCTAGTCATTGAAAAATACGGGTTCAGTGAGATTTTCTTCGTAAATTGACCATTGGTGACAGGTTTTAGTGGCAGGCAGTCGCTAGCTTTTTGCTAGCGCTTCGTTGCTTTGCCATTAGAATTCCTCCAGGATGACAACAATTTCTTCCATTAGTTAATCGAGCGAGATAATGGCATGTAACAAACCGAATCTCATCAACTTGAAACTATCAGCGGCGACCATCGATAAGATATCAGTCCAATTTTTCCTTAGACTTAACTCGCTTGCTGAGTTTGCAATTATCAAGCAAACTGCTTTGTGGGGTTGGTACCTTATTAGTCATTCTGTTATACTCACTAAATAAGCAACTTGTTTTTCACATTTGCTAGAACGCACTTCTACACTAGTGGTATTGTTGTTTTAATAAGAAGTTCGTTTCCACGCCTTCTTGTGATTATAACAGTTTGGAAGTAATTTCAGAAAAAGACCTTCCATGCAAGGTCTTCTTGAATTACAATGGTGTGAGTTGAGTATGTGATTATGTTGCTAGGGTTGTCTGCACTCTACCCAGACAAACACCTCCATAACCAAACAGGGAATCACCTTTCGGGGTCAGGGAATTGAGGACTTTTCTTTAACTCTTTTCAACTTTTTGTTACCTACGTAAACAGATAATATACAAGAAAATTCACTATTGCTCGAAAATATGTCGCTCTCCACTGGTGAACTTGTGTCTACCGATCGATCTATCGTTAGTTAAGGTTAGATCTATCATTAGCTGTGTAGACGAGCCAGCGGATAAAACAGTGTGGTTTATAGCCCTAATATTTACCCAGTTGTTAAAACACATTCCAGCCATTCTAGCGAACACCGAGATGTTTCTGAATCGTCTACGTAACGCACATCAACGTCACAGCCCTTTGCAAAAAAATGCAATCTACTATGCAATCAGAACTTGAACTCCTTATGCAACGCGAAGAAGCAGCACACATACATGACTTCAAGATACAGCAGTTCATGACTGTCTTGAAAAAGGACCTTAATCGCTGAATCTTCAGATGGACCGAAAAATATTACGACCAAATGACGGAGTTGGCAATGAGGCACCAGCTGGCATCTACCTTTGTCATTGCATCTATGTCCAAAGTGGAAACACCAGTAACCGATCTCCGACTACTACTCTGCTGTATATATAGAGATGATTGCCTCATCGTTTGTATATCCACACAAGATAAAATAGACAAATGTTTTGAGTTATTGAAAAGACAGTCAGAGGGAAATTGGCGAAGAAAATAGCCATTACCAATGGGTGCGAAAATGTAACTCTTCGAGAAAAGCGTAAAGGAGAACTCAACCTCCCTAACAACAACTCTTGCGATAATAAGGTTTTGTTCATTCAGTCGTTTATCTGAAACGAAGTAAGTGCAGCTATAAAACGTTGATTAAGAAGGTCCGGACTAAAAAGTTCAGTAACAGTAGTTAAAATACGACCGAGCACTCTAGAGCGCCTGGTAGTTAGCAACTGCCTGTATGACTGTCTATGTACAACGCAAAATTGCACATTTCGCCCTAAAGGTAGTAACGGTGATTGCATGTGTACTTAATCTCTTGTAAAGTATGTGGAGACAAGTACATTGGCGAGGCGGGTAGACTACTCTGCGTCGATAAAAAGGAGCACCTAGTCGGTAAACTTAAAGTTGAACCAAATACACCATTAGGCGCCCATAAGACACAAGACATAACGGGATGATTTTGAAGTAGGAATTAACACCTTCGAATAGAAATCGAAAATACCAGCTTGCAAAACTTTCGAAGCATTCTCTATACATCCAAAGAATCCGAAAATGAATCCCATTGAGGAATGGCTCATAATCACGGGTGATTTCACACAGTATTTAAGACTGGTATTTAATGTGAGAAGCACATTACCCTTCCATGTGAGCTCTGTGCGGTTGCTCTTCTTGTAAAATACTTAGTAGAAACTCGTAGGAAGCAGCGAGTGTGCGAAGAAGCTACTTTGTGTTCAATGTGATTGAAATTTTGGTTTACCACTTCAGCTGTTCAATTATGGAGGTGTTTGGCTGGGTAGATTGCAGTGAACATGACCATTCCAGACTCTGAAAAGACGAGATCCACCAAAACTTCGGTTTTTTTATTAACAAAGAATAAAATAACAACGTCGTGTTTGATCATGAAGGAAACAGTGAATTATTCGACTAATGGTAAGATTGGTGGGAAGTCTGTCGTGTGGGTTACACAGTCTTATTTTTGTAGTATGCATTGCTGAAGTAGAATCATCTTTTTCCTAATGGAAGTTGATAGCGCGGTATCGAACTCTGGAATTGATCTCTAATTCTTTATTTCCTAATATCCCCAAAAGTTTGTCGCTTCATCGTTCTCGAATGATATTCCTGATATTCTTGGGTGTGAAGAAAGCAGAAACCACTCCCAGAAGGAACACCTGTGCCGAATGTACTAGGATGACCTGCTGCGTGTGTATTTTGTGATTTATCACCAGGTCGAAGAAAATTGCTTAGTGATTTATTTTGGGAACTCGTGTTCGTTTTTCTTTTTTTTATTTCTTCGAAGCGAGCTTGTACTTAGCCATAGCCTTATTATGTTCCTCTGTAGTTGTTGTATTGATTAACCATGAAATAATCTTTTAGCTGATGATTTCGAAATTATTTTTAAACGAACTTAACCTAAGAAGACAAAGAAAGAAATTAAGTGGGCGAAGTGTTCTTAAGTAAGCTGATTCTTACTTGTCTAGCCTTAGACTACCGTTTTTACCCATTCTTGCTTCGACATCGAATTTTGATTTTCTAACAGTATTTGATCTTTGGATTTGTACAGGAATTTCTGATTTTTTAAAAGATACTACAAATAATTCTTCGTATTTTTGTTGAGCAAACGCGAGGTGTTATTATTCCTTATTCACGAATGAGCTGACGTTTCGGCGGATTTCGGCTTCCTCAGAGCCGCTTTCTATGAGGTTTCCACTAAGTATGTCACGTAGAGACCAACCGCACAGAAATCACATGGAAGTATATACATTATACATTATATATATATATACATCATACATTATACATTATATATATACATTATACTTCCATGTGATTTCTGTGCGGTTGGTCTCTACGTGACATACTTAGTGGAGACCTCATAGAAAGCGGCTCTGAGGAAGGCGAAATCCGCCGAAACGTCAGCTCATTCGTGAATAAGGAATAATAACACCTCGCGTTTGCTCAACAAAAATACGAAGAATTACTTGATCAATGCCGAGGTTAATAGAAAGTCGGTCGTGGGAGATACTACAAAATTTCGCAACTTTCTTATAAATGGTTCTTAAAAAGTGGCGCTAACAAACGAATACCTTGAAGTTACGAATACCTTGAGAAGTTGAAGTGAATATCTCATATTATAGAACGATGACCGCATAATTTCTATGATCTCGAAGGATTTATGAAGGAAAGGTCCTTTTACAACAGTTGCTTTTAGCCTGTTACCGATCTAACGATCTTTCGCTTCCGACAATCCGACATACGATGATTCGGGAGCAGGAGTCGCCCCCGAAGGGCTTGGTGGAGAAGCGACGTGCCCAATTCACTCAGTCTGAGTCCATCTCCATATCGGCTGACGAAGTGAATTTTTCAGATATCACATTAACAAGACACTAAGCCGAATGTTCTATGTTTAGTCTGGCATACATCGATTTGCTTCTGGACCAATTTCGACCATATCCCTGAATGCTCAACGGCCAAGGAATCCCTTTGCACAGGAGAATCAGTAGGATTCTTTTTCTTTTCTCTTTATTGCTCATTTTTTCCCTTTAGAACAAGAAAAGGTGTTTTTATCTCAAAAATTTCTTCACTCCAATTTTTTTTCTTAGCTTTTTGTTTAGCTCTTGTTAGTTAATAAATGGATTAAAACACAGTCAAAATGGAAAACTTACAAAAGGACCTATGTCGATAATAATAAAATCTGGGGCATAGCATGTTAAGAACCACCTTCTTGTGTTTTTCATGCTGGGTATTTAAAGGAGCTGATATTCATATACTTTCGTCTATTCATTTTTTTGCAACTTGGAACCTGAAATCCCGCAAATCATCCAGTAGCTTCAGTTCGGACCAATGAAATTTCCATGCACTTCTTTGGTTCTGCGTGAACTCTGCATGTTCACGATAAGAGAGGCAGCGCATTTAATGCGGGGTGCCCTTTGTTTTTACTGTTTCTAGTGATAAGATAGCTATGGGTAGCATAATGGGATTAGGTTTGGTTTTAGCTTGGGCACCGGATGGAAACGTATAACAACCATTCAACTTTGTTGACTGTAAAGGAAAGTGAGTATTGAATCTACAACGGATGCCAGCTTAAGACCCAATGATATCGTTGCGTACTTTGTCTATTAAAAGTGCTATGTGCTCAAATACGTGTTGTTCTTATCCTAAACGTCTTAAAAAAGTAAAAATTAAAACAGCGGGTTTTGTTCTTATCACAACATTATCCTATCAACACTGTTGATTGAAGTGATGAAAGAAAATCTGGTAAGCGATGTCTCTTGGATACATGATATCACTGGTTGTGTGGGCCCCAGCACAATCTCCACTTTTTCGGAGATTTGCTGGTTTAGCCATTGTGGTTCTCTGAAATCCCCGAGTCAACCTGGCCAAAGTCTGCCCCAAGTCGTCACCACCACAGGCAGTCGCAGCCCTTGTGTGATCAGAGAGAGATTTGCCACCATGCGAGTAGTTTGGTATCAAGACAGTGGCGGATCGTGGCGTTGGTATTGGTCTACTCTGAGCTGAGCTTCCTGATGGAAACGCTGAGCTCCTTATCCTAGGAGACCATGCTAGAGGATGAACCCCAACTCAGCCTGATACCCTGAAACACCTCTCAGCCACGATGAGGCGGTAAACCATTGAGAGGAGTGGTGTCTCCTAGGTCACATGAACGCCAACTGGTATCCGTATCACCAGCGTTTTCCTCCATGTTTTTTGAACCTTTCTTTAAATTAGTAGATCCGCATGCTGCGTTGCTTTTAATTCCAATTTTTTATCGGAGTTTATGAACTAATCAATATTTCTGGACTACTAGATTTCATTGACTTTGCAAACAATATAAGCATGCGTCGAATACATAGTCTATAAGAGGAAAGACTACATGCTGAATAAAAAGAAAACGTTTAATCTTCTTTGAGCATGAATTCAGAATTTGGACTATTTTCAGAAGTTCTGCTCGCAAAGTGCAGATCGACAGGATTCGTTATAACCTTCGAGCTCCGGCCGAAATATTGAGAAGGAGTCCCAACGACCAACTAGGCGACGAACTGGGCGAAACAAGATCAATCACTGAGAGATTGAGTGATGGGGAGAAGAGAATGCTCAGAATTACTGCCAGCAAAGATGGTAAAGAGACATTCCACTTAAAAACCACATACAGAGAAAGATAGATAGCCGACCTATGCATGTGTAGTACTTTCCCGTGGGGCCATCGATATGTTTTGGGTTACTTTTAGTCCTTTTATTGGATGTTCATGTGATTTAGGCAAATTTTTAACTCCTCCTAAAGATTCGTAGTGAAGCACTTTTTTGCACGGAATTCGATGAATTCGTTCAAGAGTTTATGACACCGACACTTTTCCATTTGTTTATTTCACCGATAGACTTCAGATGTAGCGAAACAGTTGCAGATCATCACAGTGCACTACATCCGATATTGCACACGACGACCACACGTGTCAATTCCCACTCAGTTCCTCGTGGTTTTCCCATCGTCACTGTTAGGGTGACCGATCCAACAATAACAGCGAGACATACGGTGAGCGACATTTGGCCGTTGGCGCTCAAGGGTAGCACAAAGACGACTTATTTCTTTCTGGCGACTTTAATGTTATTATAATGGGAAAATAGTGTTTCCAATATCCACTGAATTCAGTAAATTGAAATGGCTTCATTTTTTAAGAGAGACGTACACGGTAGTTCAACGACATTGACACACTACGCACACCCATGTTTGGTTGTTGCCGCACTATGACCACAATGATCCGTTTTCCTGTAGATGTACATTGGCGGCGAGCGACCCTGTCTGCAAAAGATAAAGTACCGGCCTGGCTACCATATGCTTGAACACAAGTCATTCCAAAAACTAAATCTTCATTTAGTGCCACCGATTTTTCTTGTAAAATGAAAAAGTAGGACAAAAATGCTGCAGTGCAGCCAAGTGGACTGAATCTAATAACTTTTCTCGCTTTTACCTCAACATAAAGGCGTTAGAACCAAAAGTGTTCGATACAAAAGCGTTTTCCCAACACAGATTTTATCACAATAAATAGGCAATAGTAAAATTTAGTATCGAGCTCCACAAACTTTGCTTCTGTGTTTTCTTTCTGTGTTACTTTCGAAATTATTTTTCCAGTTTCGCGAGATAGTAATTCTGCCTAAGTTGTCAAGAAGAATCGGTGTTATTGTAAAATAGGCGAAACTCAAGCTAGATGAAATGTTTATAGCCCCATGAGCAAGAAGCATACCAGGCTACCGTATTAAAGACTTTCTTCCTGTAAAGGAAGACGCTCAAGGCTCTCGCTTTTTAAGGCTTTCATTTCATTGCGAATGAAAGTACATATTACTGCATATAAGAATTATCAATGCAAAGGTTACTGTATTTATTTATCTGAGACATGGACGCATCAACGTGAATGAGTGTTCTGCTCACATGCGTTAGTCGTCAATTCGTAGGAATCTGGATTAAAGTCTCTGTGTTCGTAAGACATTTAAGAATTTGCATTACATGTGGTCAATGATTCACTAAGCTCGATATTAAGCGTGAAAATTCGGTGTTCATCTTTCTCTCAGCAGTGTTTTAGCACTTACAAAGCACGACTGAGAGAAAGGCGAAACGGAAGTCTCGCATGGTGTGGTAGTGAACGCGTTAGCCCTTGGAAAGGCTAATAGGGTGTTCGATCCTCACTGCAGGCACCTGTGGCTCGGAGTTTTGTAAATGTCTCAGCACCATTGTAGTTATCTTTTACAGCATACACTATTGTCAAAAAAAGAACAGGTAGTGAATCAAAAAAGTGATTAATTTTTGTTGTTATTGAAATTCTATTTTATTTAAACCTGATTTTTCACAAAGTTCTTTCCCTTGTGTTATTATATTTGGCGTCGCTGACTGTTTTATTAGTTGTAACAGGAAAGTATTTGATTTGAGGTGAATATTCCCTTGAGATTACTTTTGAGGCTCAGGTTAGCGACGATGAATCGACGACGATTCCTGTGATGCGTGCACAGTCTCAGAAATCTGAGCGGAAACGAACTGCACATGCCGGTCGACCACATCAAGTGGAGAGGTTCGACTCGAAAACTATAACGATTCCTCTCCCTTCCGAAAAGTCTACTGGAGAAAGCGAGAAGGCGTGGGCTCCTGGGTGGACTTCAAAAAAACGTCAATTGGCTCGAGGTACAGTTTACAGAAAATTTTGTAAAACGTACGGAAAGAAACCGACTACTGTTTTGGAAAAAATTTCACTCATAGTTGTACATTGCTAAGAAACCAAAACAGGTGTTACGCGTAAACATCTTTTATAGGTTTCTCGTTTTTCTTTTTTTCTTACGCTGTTTTCCACCCAACTTAAAAGCACAAAGGATAAAGCTCTCGGCATTCGTCAATCCCTGAGGGATGCGCTATGCTTTCGACTTTATTAAGAATGGTTGAAGGTGATTTAATGCATATCTGGTCTTTACAATGACTCGCGGCGGCTTAACGTTGTATCGAGCCAGTACTGCTATCTTTCGAGACAAGTCTGATAGCAATTCGCCGAGAAATGGAAGGCTTGGTGGGCCACCGGCGTGGAGATCGATCCCATGTGTGTGTCGGACGGCGCCTCGGACCACCGCTTCACGTGCACCACAAAGAATCTTAAGTCATGAATCGAATGAATTTAAAGCAATGGTGCTTTCTTTTTTCGTAAAATTTGTAGACGTGCTCTATTAAACGCTATTTGTATAACCACAATAGTGATGAGATATTTTCACAACTCCGTACCGCAGGTGTCTGCTGTGGGGAACGAACGTGCTATAACCCTTTCCGGGGCTAACGTGTTCACTACCACACCATGCGTGTTCTTTGTCTCGCCTGTCTCTCAGCTGGTTCTGTGGATCAGTGTCATCAGGAATCACTTGTCAGCGGGACTGTTCTAGGGAGACCAAATCGACAATAAGTCCATTTAAGCTGAGGCTGCAGTCGAAATGATCGACAGAACTAACTGAGAGACAGGCGAAACGAAGAACCCGCATTGCGTGGTGGTGAACGCGTTACCCCGGAAAGGGCAATAACGGGTTCGTTCCTCACTGCAGACACCTGCAGTCCGAAGTTTAGCAAATATCTCGGCTCCATTGTGGTTGTGTCACACATAATACGCTGCCGTCAAAAATTGTGGTAGGCAGCAAATAAAAAATTAACATGCTGATTATATAATATTTCATATAATGTAATTTATAAAGTATAATTTTTAATATTTAATACTGACGATAGCTCACCTCTTTCCATTACTTCTCTATGCAAAGTTCTCTATGATCTGTAATTCTTCCCTTGTGAACTTGGTGAAGTGTTGATCTGAACTGAAAAAAGTTTAAGCATATTTTGTATGTAGGAATTTTCATTCATATCGATTTTTCTACTAATATTCGGGTATCATTTGCAGATGCCTGTGGTGATGTTGTTGCGTTTTACGAGGATCAAGGTGCCGACAGCGATATCGCAATAAAAGAGCGAGAACTTAAGAAAGCTAGAGATACTATACGAAAGGTAAGAATGCCATGATATTTTTGACAAGTTATCATTTTTCGTTATTTTAATCCGCAAGCTATTTCTTAGTTATGATAATTTTGTACAAATTACCCGTGTACTTCGTTTTAATGCTTTCCAAAGGATCTCCACTACACAGTTCAATATCTTGGATTTGAAAACATTTCATGGCTTAAAGAAATGGAAACAGGTCGACGTGTGTGTTCGAAAGATCGCGTCAGGTGTCATGAATGACTTTATTTTCTAAGATTACTAAGTTGACACAAGTTTGATGTTGGAGTTTTATTCGGCTAACCTTTCTACGTCTTCGTATTCTTCTCAGCCAGCTAGATACGAGTAAATGGTCCACAGATAGTCGCCCTTGAAAGATTTAATGAAGTCAGTTTTTAAGATATTGCTACTTACGTGCCACCAAATGAAGTACCGTCTGCTACAGGACGCATTACTCGTCAAAATGCGGTTCATTTTGCTTGGCGGAAATCGACCCATATCTGTCCTGTATGAAAAGACATCACCGGGTAAGGTTTCCCATTCGAGTTTGTTTGAGCTGTGCTCTCTCCACCGGATTCAACTCAATGCGCTTAAGAACACCCGCATCGCCACATCGATCACCTACTGATTACGGATTCGAATTAATCCAGCTTTGAAGAAGACGAAGACGTCGAGTCGTTAGTCGAATAAATCAGCAATTCTAGAAAATATTGGTTCAGACAGTGATTAAATGACGCTCAATTTTTAAAATGTGTGGATGGCATTCGCAGTTATTTTCCCGAATACAGCAACTGCTCCACAGGAGGTCCGAAAAGCTCACCATGGTCTTGTAGTTGGCAAAGTTACGATCAGCGTAGTGGATACTTCCATTTTTCAAAGCTCTAGCTACTACCGATACTCTTCTCTTTCGCAGATCTTTTATGACTTGTATAAAGCCTTGCAAGCTGATGATTCCGCGTTACTCTATCGTTCAACTTCATGCTGTGTACCAGCTTGAGAGTTTTTGGAAGCATCCGTCTGCTATCTGGTCTCAAACCCACTGCTTGTTTAGGCTTATCGTAAAAATGTTTGCTGAGCTGGTCATCTTTTTCATCAACGTTATTGATAACAGTATATGCTCAAAAGAAAGCCAAAAAACTAAATAAAAACTAAATTTTTAATGGCTTTATGGTGTCGTTCCTATAATTAATTCTTCTTCTTTGTGAAAAAAAAACGACTTGTGAACAAGGTAATAGGTTGTCAGGTCCCATGAAGGCGTTTAATGTTCCGTCGGTTGGTCACATTGGGATGTGCCCACTGGCTTTGTGGTATGATTTTCATTACTGCCTCCTGTTATATCTGCGGGTAATGTATTTGCATATCTTTATTATGCGTCATGCGTCAGTATACATCAGAAACCTGGTCGCTGAGTAAACAGGTTGAAACATCACTCAGCGTCATTGAACGCGCTGTCGAAAGGACAATGCTAGGAGTACCCCGTGTCACGCAAGTAAGGGAAGGGATCCGAAACTCCGATCTGCGTCGACGATCAAGAATCAAAGATGCCGTTCTGTACGCCAAGCAGTCGAAGATGAGGTTGACTGGACACGTAATGGGTATGAATGACAACGGATGGGCAAGAGCCGTTAGTGGCTGGATTCCTCAGGAGGCTAAACGCACTGCAGGAAGACCACTGACTCGATGGTCAGAGTTTTTCACGAAAAGTTTAGAAGAGAGACGTGATGTTCAACGAGTTCCTATAGTGAACAAAACCCATTGGGCTACTCTTGCACGCGACAAGGAAAAATTGTAGATTTACTGGCACCCGCTTCAGTCACTCGACGATTAACGGGATTACAGGTGATACAGGTGATCTTTCTTATATTTCAGCTTTCCAAAGAATTGGCTCGGTTGGAACGCGATAAACAACAGCTCGAGATCGAAACTCGCTCCCACCGCCGCAAAACAGAAGCTCTCCTTGCCAGCCGAGTGGCAGGTAGGCGGTCGTTTCTTGGGAGATAAACTTTCTTTTCCTACTTTTTTGTATTCTTCATTTTCTTATATGTAACTCTGATATTTGGCTTTTCTAGAAATTTTTCGCTTTTCCTATCCAAATAAGTATTTGTTTATTCGTAACACCCTATATATTGGTTGCTAAGTGAATCACCAGAGCACTAAGAAAGCTTGTGTTTCTGTCAGAAAGAAGAGTAGCCCATTGAATTCTACTAGCATTACAAATTCGAATAGAATAACTTTATTTATGGTCTTCCTTCAGCACGCTTAAATCTTGTGGGACCCACTCCCAAACGGCTTTTCCCAGCGATTGTCGATATAACGAATTTCGATCATGGCCCACTTGATTTTTAACATTTACAACGTGTTTTGGTGTGCATGTATGAACATTTATTTCGCTGCGTCTTTCGTCTTCTCCTCACAAACTCTTCGACTCGCTCCTTCTATCCAGGTCTTCCCCTAAGTCGTTGATCATGTTATTTTCTTAGCTAAGAATACATACGCCCGGGGTATTTTGCCAAGTTTTTCGACCGAGTGAGGATGGCATTTCTGAAAGGAATCTGTTCCTCATCAACAACGTTTTTTCGAGAATTAGCGGAATAGTGGTTTTTCTCCCAGCCGCTGTTGAAGGCAACCATTCACTCTGCCTCTCTATGCTTGATGTTATGGGAACGGTAACATCAAAGAAGAAAAAGTGGTGTCCACGCCATAATCTTTCGCTCCCATATTGTGCCATGATAGTCCTTGTATATGTTTTTATCGAAAACGGCTTTAAATAATTTTGGCACGATTGCGTCGTCTTTGAAGAACTTATCTTTGATATTGTCGTTTTAGAATGGGGAAATTTTCGTTCTGTTATCAATGTATGGCTGATGAAGGATTTTTGCTCCAGTGAAGAACATTGTGCTCCATAGAGCTCTTATCTTTCCTCTATTTACTGTGTTAAGTTTTTTCTAGATGAACAAAATTGGGACGAGGTTACCTTTTACATTCTCGAAACACTATAGCGTTATTCGTTATCGTATGATATCATCGAACTAGCCTCTTTTTCTCACGTATCCTTTCCCTAGTGTTTTACCGCTCTTGTCGGAGAAGCCTCAAGGCAGCAGACATCAGTCAGTTGAGCCGTAGTTGCCAATTTCATGTAGGCTACATTTCTTTAAGAGAATAGTATGCTTTTGCTAGGTCTGCGTTGATTCGTAACCTTATATTTTGCTAGCTAAGATGCAATTAGCTGAGCAAGTGTTTTAATGAAGACTGTTGGGTTGGTTCTCCAGGCTGCTTCTCTTCTTTCCAGATACTGCATGGTTCTTCACCAATAGCGCAGATCAGTTTCAATCTTAGTTGATTTGATAAAGAACTATGGACGAGAGGGACAGGAAATTGAAATAGAATTCTTTGTTTTTTTTCTAACGACTTCCTCGAACAAGTAATTCTTCTATCTAGAGCCAGTGGAAGATCATATTCTTTTCATAACTGTCGGAAATCCGATTTTTGTTGCCACTTAATTGGTAGATACCTAAGGCTAGTGGTACTCTGAGATGACTTGTAACCGGTCCCATTAATTACCGGTGTTGTTGACATCGGTGTCTTCGCCTAAAGATGGTAACAAAGCAACTACATTGGTTCCGTGAATTTTTCTACATGGAGAAAATTTTGCTCGAAAAGGTGATGGACCGATCATCTACATATCTTTGGAAAAGTGGTGATATCTGTTATGGAAATCTCTAGATTTGCTATGATTGATTCATTTTGTGAATTATCACTTGCAGAAAATGGTCATTACGATATACTCTTACAGCTATTCACTGTCAGTGAGGCTGAGATATTTGCAAAACTCTGGGCCGCAGATGTCTGCGGTGGGGAACGAACGCACTATTGTCCTTTCCGAGGAGTAACGCGTTCACCACCACACCATGCGGGTCCTTCGTTACAAGTTATATTTCGCAATATACCCTGCCGTTAAAAAGAGTAGACAGCGAAGAATAAGTTAAAATTGTTATTCACTGTGTTCATTCGGTTCCAAGCTGACTTAAAGTACCGCATTGTTTTTTCAGACTAATCTTCGCGTTGAAATTGAAGGTGCTGTCATCTCTGTTTTACTTCACCAAGTTGAGATAGAGCGCTTCAGCTTTGTCTTTATTGTGGTTTGGTGCTAGAATGTAGTAGAACAAGATTGTGAATACTAGCATTAGTCCGTGTCTTTCAGCAATACTTGTCGACTCGGGTAACTCGTGTTTCAAAGTAATTTTTCACTGATGTGCATAGCCATCGTTGTTTTGATAAGACACCAACCCTACCAACTCCTCCATTATCGCGTATGCCAAGAAAAATTTCTTCAACTTCATAAGAAAAGCCTTTCATGACTGTTATATTTTTATTTCTACTTAGGGTAGAGGATATCTCACTAGTCCGAGTCAATGTTTTTCGGATAAAGAATACAGGCTCTATCTGGAAGATCATGTCGAATTTGGCGTTCAGCTAACTCAAAATCACGAGCTACACAACTATTTTAAACATAAGCATAAACTTTTTTCGTTTTTCTTCAGGAAACATGTGATTACAAGTCAATATGCGAAATTCTCAGTGTTAGAGTAAGATATATCTCTCATCGATTAGCGAAAGAGTTTTGACTGTTTAAAGGGATGGGAATGTTCACGATGTGATGTCGCAACTCTAACAATGTCTCCGCTTCAATCATCCACCGTCACGGAGCCGCCTTAACACCTCGTCTTGGCTTGGTTGTCTTCAACATCCACCACAATCAACTTTGAAGCGACCATTCAGATTTCCATGATTTTCCAGCTCATCCCTGTTCCTTCCCGTGCTAACTCCACTTTATTGCCTTCAAGTGGAATTCTTCAGCTCTACAGTTCTTTACGAACCGCATTATGTTTTACGTCTACTGTAAGAGTGGATATTTTTGTTACAGCGTTTGCCTATGTATTATGTATTGTAATTATATAAGCCTTTGTTTTAGTTATCGATTAATGTAACGTAAGGCCAAAAAAATGAAT